TTACGTGAAGCGCTGAGTAGTTGATCTTTCTTCATCTTCTCCATACCACTCATGGTTTCGTAGAGAATGATGAAAAGAATTCTATCTCCAGTGACACAAAGTTGACACACAATGTTGAACTGATGTTGCACAACTGAAGAGAGAATTCACAGTTTAATAAATGGTGTGCTAGACATTATTTCAGTTTTCTTACAAGACCACTGGTAGGATTAATTAAGAACTTTAGATGCAAGCCCCTTTTGAATAGAGATTAGTTAAAGCAAGGTTAAAAGTGATAATGAAAGGACACATATTTAGCTATAGGTTAATAATCTGCCTTATTTCATAATTCAGTAACCTCATCTGCTGGAGTGGTACGGCTTCTTATGACTGTGAAAATAATACATTGCTCTTCTGCAAGTGGACACAGCAGGACTGATGATATTTTAAGAGGAGACATTGACTTTGTCTGCAAGGCCAGGGCATGGAAGAAATGAAAATAACAATTATTGATTTTTTTCTTGTGCCGAGAGAAACATTTGCCAGCATTTTATGAGGGGTAAAGAGCAGATGTTCACCAAGAGAGGAGGGGTTTTCAGTTTTAGCAATAAGACATGATAATTTTTGCAGAGAACATTTCTTTGCAGTTATATCATCCTGACATGGGGAAACAAGTCAGAAGACCAAAACATAAATAGCAAAAACTACCCTGAAATGCTGTAGTCACGCAAGTATACAAGATGCTCCTTTAGGAGGGGGTGAACAAATGAATCAAAGGTATAGCTTGGTTCCAGTTTGACTAACTGAGATCCAGTTGCATTAAAGAGACTGAGTATATACTTACCACATGACAGTTAGTTTAAGCATATGCTGAACTGCATTGCTGCTTTCAGGACTACTGCCCCAAATTGCAAAAGGTCTAAGATCAGCAGGGCTCTGGAGAGATGCAGCAGTCAAGCCAAACAGGACATTGGGCAGGATCGGGGCTGAAACCCATGGGTTAGTCATTCAGGTTCATTTCGCTCACAAAGTGAAAGATTACTTTTATCCTGTTGGCAGAAAAAGCATCACTAGTCTTTAGAGAATATACAAAGTGTTGTGGCACATTATATAATGTCACTCTGTGGGAATCGTGGGAACCTGAGAACGTGGAACATAAATGAGGAAGTCAGTTTGCCAAGGCTATGCAGTTGATTGCTGTGCTTTTTACTGCATGAATTCAGAG